AATTTTGATTAACTGTAGCGACAGTGCAACCGAGTAGAAAACCAATTTCATGTAGATCATGACCTTTGATTATCATAACCATTGTTTTATCAGTTAGTTCAAAAGAAAACAAGATGTCTATTTGTCTCAACACATCCAATCAACAACATTTGTAGCAGCACTAAAACGTCTCTCACTGGGATTGCAAATGGCTGATATCTGTAGTTAGTTGTTTAATAGTTTTAACAAACCTCTGTTTAAAATCCTTCAATCCGAATCCTGAGCCTGATAGTTTTGATTGGCATAACATTGTCTATTTTGAATGTCTCATATACATCGGTTGGATAAGTGAACAATGGCAGTAGCTAAACAAAACAAGATCAGTAAACAGTTGTCGTTGACCTGACGTTTGAAGACCCCGTCAGAATTGAACTTTAATAATCATATACATCATTTCACTTGTCTCATAAGCTTATCACTCTTTGATCGCCAAATCCAGGCTACCGTAGTCTAAATTTTAGCGATAAGTTAGTTAAACTGTTGCTTGAAAATAATCTGAAAAGAGGAAAACAGAAGAAAGAAGAAAAGGAGCGAAGAAAAACAGAAAAAACCAATAAATTGATCTTTTATTTACTTTTCAAATTCACATTACTCAATTACTGATCTGACTCTTACACTTAGATATACATGTGATGACACTCTTGTTTTTTAACTTTTAGCTTCACTAAAAAAAAAGTAAAATTCTGCATTTTTGAAACCGTTAGTGTTAAATTATTTTTGTTTATAGTCACCGTCATGCGCCTACTTAATTTGCCAAAATTTGTTAACTATGAGGCAAAGAATCATTTAAGCAATACACTTTCTATTTTGTTTTCATAACAGAGAACCACCATCTTCTTCCCACTAATCGTTGAAGTTCAGGTCGAAGCAGTCGTACTCCTGTCAGTTAGTTATTTCTTGCACCACTCTACCAGCTTAGTGACAGAGGCACTGCAGATACCTCTTCTAAAACCTTACTTTATCCAATTCGTTGGTCTCTTCACGAAGTCTATTTAAAAAGTAAAAGAAAAAGTAGCGTTTTATGTCGTATTAAATTTCTATAAATCTGAAAGAAATTTCAAGAAATATGTTTAAAGTTTAATGCTTTCTGTCTAAAAAATCGTAAAAAAAAACTAAGAAAAAGTTTTTATAGCAAACCTTTTGGAACGTGAACACTTTTACTAATTTCTTTTTTTTCCTGACGTTTTACACTTTTTTTTGTTGTATAATAACACCGTAAAATTTTTGATTGTTTCATTTTAGGATCAGTAAGCAGAATTTTTATATAACAAAAAAAAAAGGTAAAGAAAAGATGTCTTAATGTTCAAAAGTCTGTTTTCCTCTG